CTCTTAAGGAATCCAAATCCTATTTGTCCCGCTAACACAGAAGGACTATTAATTGTCAGTAATCATGATTGATAAATAAGCAGTTGGATCAGACAGGTTCCTATTCACCCTGTGCCTGGTCTGAGTCTATCTGCTGTGTTCTCATTTGGTGATTTCCTTTGGGGCTCTTATTACTCACTGGAAACAAGAAATGCTTCCTTTTCTTATGGAAAGTTGGGGGAAAGTTCGAAGAATGTCATTGTCGTCTGGTTGTTGGGTCATTCTTTCATTGAATGGTTGCGTGCCCAGCACTGTGCTAGCACTGGGAATACTGTATCAGTGGTCTCTGCCTTCAGGGATGGAGGCTGGAGGGCAGGTGGTAGGAAACCACTTACTGAGTCCTGTCACAGGTGGAGTTTGTGGGAACACAAGCTGGTGCAGGTGGCTAAGTTGGCCTCCTTTAGGTTAGTGATGAACACTTAGGCACACAGGAGCTACAAGTGCCATGTGGTCCTGGGCTACTCAGGTGGGCACAGAGCCCTGACTCCATTCCAGCTTTTTTCCTTTATTGTCTCTTTGTAGAGATTTAAGACACTGGCTAAAGCAAATGTTGTGGATTTTTTGGTGACCCTCATAGTCAGTGCGGCATTTCATTAGTCATGAGGGTTGGTTAAAATTAGCTGTTTTATTTAAGTGCCTTTAAATCACCTGAAAATGAGTGAGAAGCTTACGTTGTGAGAGGCCCTTAAGATGAAGGGAGCAGCAGATTCCTGTGTTCTGTCTTATCCTTCATTGAATAGAACTGGTATCACAAGCACCTTCATTAGACTATCTTCCTGCCTTTTATAATAAACCGTGTATTGTTTGAATGCACACATGATACCTCTGCTGTACTCCAGTTACTCTTTGACATATCAGTGGGTAATGGTGAATCATCCATTTAGGGAGTGCGGCTGTTGGGGCAGTTACCAAGATATTTGGATCACTGGTGACAGTTGGTTTTTGGAGTTTCTTTATAGTGTGACTGGGAAGAATTTCAGGTAAAAAGCTTTCAGACAAGTGTTTATGATAGAAACTGAGGCACATGGAGGCTACATATGTATACATTTAAAAAAATGTATTTCTAATAAATAAGACTTCCCTTCTCCCTTTTCTTATAAGTAGTCTGTGGAAAGGGTTACATCTTGGAACCACACTGCTCAGAAGAATATGAAAGCTATTGAACTTGTAAGTCAGTTCAGATTTAGATGAGTATTAGAAATAAAGCCATTTGCTACCAATTTAAATTTTCTTTCTGGGCATCTGAAGACCTAAAAGAAGTGGATTCTTGGTAGTTTGATTTACCAAAGTGAACCGTTCTTTGCCATCCCATCACAAGGGACATTCGGTCATCTAGAGAGGACAGGCTTGAACAGGCATGAATGTGCATGGTTTCCAGATGACAGGCACCTACACTCACTATGGTTTTAAATCTTTATGGCAGCTCTGTTGGGTAGATTGACTCTACCCCTGTATGATTTTTCTGTACTGGGATCGAATTTATCATTTCTCTTTCACAAACGAAAACCTCATCTTCTGAGAGATTGAATTTGAGCTTCTGGATGATAGGTTGGGAACTGAGACGGGTTGGAGTCTTCCTACCACCTGCCCTCCCAGCCCATGCCCCTAGTACTATGTTCTTAATAGATTGAAAGCTCAAAGGATGCATGGGGAGTGAAGATATCAGCTTTGCAACTACAGATATTCTGTACATAATTCACTTGTTTATTTTTTGTTTTATTTTTTAGAGAGAGGGTCTTAACTCTGTCACCGTGCTTGATTGTGGTGGCTTGCTCTGTCATAGCTCATAGCAGCCTTGAACTCCTGAGCTCAAGTGGTCCTTCCACCTCAGCCTACCAAGTGGCTGGGACTGTAGGTGTGTACCCCTGCCCTGGCAATTCACTTGTTCAGATCTTAATGTTGACAATAAGCAGGTGTATATTACTACAGGTTCAGAATTGAGGTATATTGAGTGGTAGGTAAGCAGTTCTACACATTTTCACAATACCCCAGTGTGTGGCTAATACTATGAGAGCCACTAGGTGCAAGGACAGTTTTCAGGATGAGGTGGGTTTTGAGCTAGGCTGGAAGGAGCCTAAGGGATAGAACACTAGAATGGTTATTTTGGTGTCCAGAATGGGGAGCTTTGCTCAGCCCCAATCTTGTGATATCAGAAACTCTGTGCCCATACGGTGCCTCATCTTACTAACAATACCAAAGGCCTATATAACTGTATGGGTTATGTATCTGGTAGTTTCTGGGGCTGTATCCTGGCCCATGTCCAGAGTAAGTAATTCCATCCTGCTGAGCTCCAGTTGACCAAATCACAAGACCCTGGACACAGAGTTTTTCCTTTTGGAGTAAATAAATAAAAACATATGGGCATTCAGAACAGTATTTGTATTTACGGAGTGGGTAGATCAATTAATGTTAGCTAATATTGCATTCCCCCAACAACCAAGGACTTGAAATTTGTAGTTTTAGAAGTAACTTGAAGGGGTTATCCGTAAGACTCCTCTGCCTGTCTTCTAAGGTAGTCCTCCCCTTGTGGAGCAGTTCAGCTAACAAAGTATGTTCTTGTGTTTCTTAGAAACCATCATCCCTCCACCCATGCCTCACGCATGCATTCTTGTTAGTCAGCAGCCCTTAGTAAATGGCAGTCAGAGGTGGACTTACTTTTCCTAGAACCTCTAAGTTCTTACCTGTCAGGGGCATTTCGGAATCCTGTCTTGTGTGCAGTTGGTTTCAGAACTCAAAGCACGAGTTTATATTAATTTCTATTATTTTTGCCTTATCCTATGACTGAAAGCTGGTAAGATCCTTTTGAATCCGTACTCACAAACTCAGCATCCTTAGACACTGAATAACCTCTGAAGAGCTGTCACATAGGAGGATGTATTGTGTGGAAATTCCAAAGAATATTCTGACTCAACATAAAAGACGGTTGGGATCCTGGGTGCTGCCTGGGATGGGGAACCTGTGGCCTTTTGACTGAATCCAAATTCCTTTATTAAAAGGATTTGTTCTGTGAAGTTTGGATTTGGTTGAGGGGCTATATATACTTAGGGATCAGGAGTGCTGCATGTGGCCTTGAGGCTGCACGATCCCCACCCAGGCGAGGAGTCTGTGTGTGTGTGTGTGTATGTTTTTTTGTTTGTGTCCCTACAAAAATTGTTAACAGTTTAAGAATTCAAAAAGCCCACAGTGCAGGGATCACAAAGTTTATTTGGGGGTCACTCACAAAACATTTTCTTTCGGAGTCATTTATACTATAACGTGTGGTGGATGCCGGTAGTCCCAGCTACTCGGGAGGCTGAGGCAAGAGGATCATTGGAACCTAGGAGTTTGAGATTGCTGTGAGCTACGATGATGCCAGGGTGTAACAGAGTGAGACTCTGTCTCAAAAAAAAAAAAAAATGCTATAACATTTGGCAATTTCAAAAGTCCTGTGTAAAACGTACATATGCTGGTGAGGTAGTAAATAATTTGCTGACAAGTTCTTTGAATGGTGGCTCAATGGCAGCATTTAAAGGCCGACAACCTGAGGCTTGTTTTGTTTTGAAGTCCAGGTGCTGCCAAGTCTACAAAGCTGTTAAGAGAAGAAGCCAAAAGCACCCACTAGTTCTACTGTTAATTGTGTAATATTCCTGTGCCTCAGAGTTTTTTGCACCTGGGATCTATTGATAGACACGGATGGGGGAGGATGGGAGAAAGGGATACAGTTGGGAAAGAGAAGGAAAGAAGGCAGGTTGGTGGCTGTCAGGTGACAGCTCTGGAACATGGGCAGTCCCCGGCACCTGTTTCCCTCCTGGGTGCCTCTTTTGCACAATATTGTGTGGACTTGAGGAGGCAGGAAGGAGCAGAACAGTAGTCATAGGAAGCTTCCCCTTCGCGTGCCCTGGACCGCCCCTTTCGATCAGTCCTCAGGAGTAATTCTTCTCCTGTTTGGGGAGGCCTTTGAATTAATGATCTGATGCCTTTGCAACAAAGGAATATTGATATGTTAGTGTGCCGGACAGCAGGGAGTACTGGATTAGATCATTTTCACCTTGGTGTTGTGCCAGTTTGACATTTGTTTGGAAAGCTTATCCTTTATGACTATAGGTTACATGCATAATTTAAGGGGAATAAATCTTTAAGAAAGGTTTCTTTCGGTTCTGTAATCTTCAGTGCTACAGAAAAAGAAAGGAAAGATTCCCCCACAGTTTTCATGTGATCAGGAACTCAGAGTAAGCTACTAGGTGACGTGCCCCATATTGATATAGAACATTTCCACAAGTGTGCTAGGCACCCGTGGCAGGTGTTACAGGAGAGACAGGAGGGGGTTGACCTGGTCCCTGATTCAAGGTTACAATCTAGAAGCCAAGAGTGGCAAAGCAATCTGCCTATACAAGATAAAAGTCCCAGAGCTAATTGCTATAGGTGCAGATCAGCTGCCGTTGCTGTCTCAATAGAACTGAGTTTTTGTGATGGCAAAATAACCGTCCAGTCATCCTCGTCCTTTCCACTTTCTTCCCACTGTCTTGGTGATCTCATTTTGAGATAGTTTGACATTTCAGAGTTATACCACCAGTTGCTGCAGCAGACATCTTTTATTTTACTTAATTTTCTTATGAACATCTTGTTCTGCTATGGAGATTTGATTATCATTGAGCCAAGTGCCCCTGGTTGGTAGTAGGCAGTTAGTTAATGGTTTATGAATGAATCCCTGCAAACTTGCCACTCAGAGTAAATACTATTCTTGGTTGAAAATTTCTTCTTCTTGGTGAAGATTATCCAGCTTCTGCCTGCCGTTGCATTTCCGTATGAGTGTTTAACACCATGCGTGGAGAACAAAAGACACTTGGATCTCCAAATTCTGTGTTCTCTGCTAGGAATTATTCTCTGGGTGAAGCTGGCATCTGAAGAACTTGGAATAGAACTAAATGAGATGTTTGTGGCTACCATGTCTTTATGGTACTCTTTTGTGATTTTTCTTTCAGGTTTATTTTCTTGAAAAGGCTCCAGGCTTCGGCTTGGAAAATCCCACCGCCAAAATTGAGCCCAGCAGCTGGAGCGGCAGCGAGAGCCCTGCCGAAAACATGGAAAGGATGAGTGACTCTGCTGATAAGCCAATTGACAACGACGCGGAAGGGGTCTGGAGCCCTGACATCGAGCAGAGCTTTCAGGAGGCCCTGGCTATCTATCCACCATGTGGGAGGAGGAAAATCATCTTATCAGACGAAGGCAAAATGTATGGTAAGTGGCCTGGAACAGTCCTTTGAAATACTACAAACTGCTGTCATGGTAGAGGAGAGATTATAGCTGGCCTGCCAGTGAGATCCATTCATTGTGTGGGGTTGGATGATCTTTGTAGAATTTTGGTTGGTCACCCGGGGGACTAACCCTCAACTAAAGAGGAGAATCAGTAAAGGACCACTGGGAATAACTCCCTGGGCTTTCCTTTATTTGTATGCTTGTTGGCATCACGTCAGCAGCTCTCAGGGTCCAGGTAGGAACATAGATAGTGGCATTGCCCCAGAAGGCAGGGGTGTGTTCTTCGGACTACAGGCCTGGTTTAAAGGAAGCACTGCCACTTAACTCTAGGCAACTGGTACCAAGCAGCAATGAGGGCCTGGTGCTGTCAAATCTCTTGATCTCCCCCTACCTGCATCCCCCAGCTCCCAGGAGGAGCCACCGATCTAGATGTTTCTATGATATCTACTCTTTTTAAAAATCCAGCACTTAGAAAACCACAAAGACCCTGTGTGGTCCAGATGGGACACGTGCATGGACCTGATCAGCCCCTGGAACCATCAGTTGGCTGCTTTGTTGCCAATTTGCAGTGGGATGATCAAACAGGGCATTAAGGGCCTTCCTCCAGTCACTCTCATGAGTCTCCCCTTCTTCAGGAAGTGTGTCCTGAAGGAAGCGACTAGGAGTGCTGAGGAGGGTGAGACCGGGTAACCTGATGAGTTGGGGTGCCACCGGCTGCTGTTGGTGCTCACCCACTAGTCTGGGGCCGGCTTGCTGGGTTCAGACATTCCCCCTTCTCTTGTAAGTGCTTCCAGCTGCAGACCTGAACTTTTTGGCTGCTTACCTTTTGGAAAGCAGATGGCAGGTGGTTTGCTTGTACATTTGGCTTGTCTAATTGGGCACGTTGAGTTGACAGAGTTCGTACTATAGCCGAGTCTGAAGAGATGCAAACAAATCACCTAAACTCAAAGAGAATCTGCTTAGCAACCTACCTGAGGTTGTTAACTTATCACGGGAGTGATTTATTTCTAAATAACCTGAAATCTTTCCCATAATAGGGTGTTGTACCTTTAATACTGAGCCGCCTCTATCAGGAGCCGTCAGAGGCCACGGCTTAAACTAGCACACACTGCTAAGGGGAAAGCAGATGGTGGTGCAGCTGCCACCAGCTGTGCCCCCCGCCCCGCCCTCCCCTTCTGCAACTTGGATGATGTAATGGAAACAAGGAAAATGTTGCTTTCTGCAGCACCGGAGTCTCTCAGCCTGTAACACACAGGGGAGAGGGAGAACCCAAACCTTCAGCATTTGGTTTATGCTCTCATAATATCCTTTGTAGCCAAGGAAGCGTCTTCATGTTTGGTGGAATGGACTCAGAATGAGAAAATCTCAGCTGCTAGGGGGAGAAAGTTTCAGGGCCCTAGATTTTCTGTATTTACGTCTTTCCCGGGCCCTTCTTCATCAGCCTGGCTGGTTGCTTTCAGGGTCTTGTCTTTACCTAAAAAAGCAGCTCCTCCTGTCACTTAAAGGCAGAGAAAAGCACCTCTGAGCCTGCTTTGTGGGATTTCATTATGTGTAGTGAAAGGTGGCTTTGGGATACTACCTTGTACAAATCCCATCTGTTTACTCAGAAAGTGTTCAAATCTGAAATAATGGCATAGTATTGGGAATCTGGTTGGGAATAACTACGACGCTTCATTTTTCACAAGGAAGAGTGGGAAAGGTACCCATCCCTTTAGGGCTCAGAACATAATTTGCAGCAAAAGTTAATGTTTGTCAACCTTGATTTTGTTTTGTTGAGATTCAACATTAAGATAGCAGTTCTGGCCGATTTAACCAATTTGTCCGTAACTCAATCGTAAAAATAATTTTATGAGAAAATAATTGAGAGCTCTGGTTGATAATTGGGTCTCAGAAGCAGCAGACTAGGATTACAACAGTGAAAAGCTTTTGGATTTGAGTAGTTCAATCAACAGTGAACTTGAACAGTTTTGTCCTTGGTCTTAGTTTTCTCACCTGTAGAAAAAAAGGTAGTAAAGTCAGTGATGTCGGTGGGTCCTTTGGACTTTTCTGTTTCATGATGCTGTGATTTTTTGACTTGTAACTGAGCAGGAGGATCAGTTATTGAACACATGGTATTGAGTGAGCAAGCAAGTCTTGAGTACTGAGGGTAACCCAAATCTGAGTCCTTCCTGAGTTCTTGATGTATGGGTTCTTCTTTCCTTAAATCAGCAATATATTTATTGACTGTGTTGTGTGGCTAACCTAATTTAAAATGAGGCAGTCCTTTTGGGCAAGCAGCATTAGGAATTATAACTCATTTGGAAAGAGCAGTCTTACAAGGTGTGGGGTTTTGAGCAAGCCTAGTATACAGCCTGCAGGCTTGGGGTGCAGGAGATAGACATTTCCTGCTCTGGCCTTGCAGCCATCCCCACCTCCAAAAGCTGCCTTTGGGAGAAAACATCCCCATTCAACTCCCTCTCTTTCATCAACATGGAGGGGTTTTGTTTCTTTTGGGTGCCTTAGAAGGGAAACATGGTGGCCAAAGGGCTATGGAGATCTGGACCCCTACAGATGAACTGCCTCAGGTGCCTGGGAGCTGCATCTGACCTGCCTGTCACTTGCAGGGTGAGAGGAAGTTGAATTGGGGGCCTCCGCAGCGAGGCCCCAGACACTCGGGGATTGAGTCACATGAGCAGTGTAGGGCCAGAGCTACCGTTTTTGGCTTCTGGCCTGTTCTCCATCTTCCCATACATGAAACAGGACACAAACCAGACCATGATTCAGGGTTTCTTAAGGTTTTAGAGAATTTTTTTAAAAAAGATTTTCAAAAAGAAAACATTAAAAGTATTTTGGATTCCATTCAGTAAAATAAAAATGATTTAGCTTTTTAGCGAAATACCAAGGTTTTTTTTTTTTTTTTTTTTCTTTAAAGAATTATTCTGTCTGGGTTCAGTGGCTCATGTCTGTAATCCTAGCACTCTGGGAAGCCAAAGTGGGTGGATTGCCTGAGCTAAGGAGTTCAAGACCAACCTGAGCCAGAGTGAGATCCTGTCTCTTAAAAAAAAAAAAAAAGAGAGTTGGATGTGGTGGTACAGGTGCCTATAGTCCCAGCTACTTGGGAGACTGAAACAAGAGGATCACTTAAGCCTAAGAGTTTAAGGATGCTGGGAGCTATGCCCTCATGGTATTCTGGCCTGGGGTGACAGAGTGAGACTATCTAGAGAAAAAAAGAAAAAAGAATTATTCCAATATTTTGTAGAATGTTTTGTGATGTCACTAATCCTGAGCTATTGGAGAAGAAAGGTCAGGTGATTTATTTTGGTCATGAAATTTCCTTCGTGGTTGACAGTGGGGGAAATACAGTGTTACAGAGGGAAAAGGTAAAAAACTCTTTATGTTGAGCTTTTGGTTGTCAGGGGAGATGGCTTTATTCTCTTTCTGCTACTTTGGTCTTTGGGGAGTGAGATGTAATGTCGCTGGTTTTAGGTGGATAGATTGCTTCTGCCTTGGGCACTCTTTTGTGTGGGCAGTCTTTCCCACGGGTAAGTAGGTGGGGTCCTCCTTTGACTTGATTCCTAAGGGTGTGCTTCTTCACTTTCTCTTCTCTTTCTTTTTCTGTGTGTCTGTCTTTCTCCTTGTCATTTCTTATCTTGTTTTTACTTAGCTGAGTGTCTTTTTTTCTGGTAGCTAGTGGGGGAAGAGATAGCTAGAGGACAAGATGAGAGGGAAGTTCTTGATCAACATAGTTGTCTGAAGGTGGATTTCAGAGCAGCAGGGCATAGTTGAAAAATGGGACAAAACAGTGAACCGTGGGAATATTTGGCATGTTTCTTTTGCAACTGAAAACCCCAGTCTTGCAATGTGGTCAAATATACCCTATCATCAAACTAGGGTAGGGACTGGCCTAACACGCACTGATTGCTTGCTACAGAGGCAGAGAAAGTATAGCACTTAACAGTTTGGACTTTATAATCGGTATGAATCCTGGCCCTGCCTCTTCTAGGTATCAGAGTTTGGGTAAGTTGACTTATCTTCCTTGTGTCTCAGTTTCCTCAGCTGCAAAATAGAGTTAAACATGTCCTTCTTCATAGGACTGTTGTAAGAATTAAGTGAACTGATTGTGATCTAGGATCCTTCCTACTACTTGGAATGATGTCTAGCACACATTGAGAGCTGTGTGTGTTTTTGACTTGAAAATAGCATTGTTCTTGGCCATGGTCTGTGTTACAGGCTTTTCATATAATTTCTCTTTAATGCACTTAACAGTGTTTTGAGGTTGGTACTGTGATCCCCGTGTTATAGATAAGGAAGCAGAGAGGAAGGGGTTTTGTGTGACTTGCACACAGCCAATATAACTGGTACAGCTAGACAGTTTCAAATCTAGGTCTGTCTGACTCCACAATCTAGGCTCTTCTCTCTGTGTTTTTGTTCCTTCTTTGGTAGAGGCCGTTATACATTAATTCTAAAAATCAGTATTGAGCACCAGCTGTATTGCAGCCCCACGCTGGGGTTTGTCAGGGTTACAGCAATGAGCAAGACAGACACAGTCCCTTGCCCTCATGGGGCTGTCACAAGTTCATTTGCAGGAAACTGACCTGAGGTCAAGGATGTATGCCAAAGCTTTCTGAGAAGTCTGAGGGCCCTTTGAAGATGGTGGCCTTCCACTTAGGCTTTTGAAGCCTGTTCTTGGCTACCAACGTCCAAGGCACCTGGCCCGATGCTGGCAAGAAGAAAGCATCTCAAATAACGCAGTGGGGAGGATCTCATGGATCACAAGGCTGGCCCCGGTGGTGGCCAGGAGGATGTCTGGAAGGTTCTAGTTCCCTGGGGTCCTGCAGTCCAGGCAGTAAACTTTCTCCTTTTGTGAGCGGATGTCTTCAGGGTCCTTGCTTAAGACAGCTCCAGCCCTTAGGTTGCCAGGTCTGTCGGTCCCAGAGAGCTGAGCTGTGAAGACTAGAGAAGATGGGGAGGAGGATGCTTCTGGGCCAGTCCTCCCCAGGTGC